ACCAAGTGCACATTCTGAAGGCCAGAAGAGGGCATCAGAGGCCCTGGAACTGGAGTTAAGGGTAGGTATTAGCAGACATGTGGGTGCTGGGAACCAAACCCAGGTTCTCTGGAAGAGCAGCTAGTGCCCTTAACCACTGAGCCATCTCTCCAGTCTCTATGGATGTTCATATTGATCTCCTTTATTTAGGTATACTCTTCATACATAAAATATATTTTAAGTATACATTTCAGTGAATTTTTTATTATTTTTATTTTATGTGTATGCATGTATTGCCTGCATGTAAATAAGTGCACCCATGTCATACAATGCCCACAGAGGACAGAAGAGACTGTCAGGTCCCCTGAAACTAGAGTTATGGACAGTTGTTAGCTGTCATGTGGGTGCTGGGATTCAAACCCGGGTCTTCTGCAAGAACAACCAGTGTTCTTAATTGCTGAGCCATCTCTCCAGTCCCATGTCAGTGAATTTTGACAACATATATGCTATCTGTCCACCAATGCTGTTAAGATACAGTAAATGCCCAATGCCTGTGAATGTTCCTTGGATCTTTTCTAAGTCAGTGAACTGCACCCTCCTTGGTCTAGATCTCAGGCAACCACTTATCAGCGTTCTGTCATTCTGCATGACAGTTGTCTTTTCTATAGTTTCGTATAATTGGAATTATTCTCTCTGAAGAGTATGATTCCTTTACTCAGCACAGTGCTTTGGAGATCCATTTTGGCTATTGCCTGCACTAACTTTGTTTTCCTTTTTTATTGATGAATAAGATTACAGGTTATAAATATCTCATCATTTATTTATCCATCATCTTTACAGACATGTAGGTTGTCTTCTTCATCTTCCATTATGAATAAATTTGCCATGAATACTCATATACGAGAATATGTGAATTTAATTTTTCATTTCTGTTGGGTAATAACCTAAAAGAAGAGTTTGTAAATCGTGTGGTAAGGGAATATTTAATTTATGAGGAACCGTTGATTGTTTTCTGAAATGATTGCATTTATGTTGTCAAAGCCAACGTATGTCTGACAATTGCATTTGTCCTACACCCTGGTCAGAACTTGATAGTCTCAATATTTTTTGCTTGTTTTGACTTATACAGTCTTCTTGGTTGCAATAGCACTTCATACTGGTTTTAATTTGCATAAATCAAAGATAAGCACTTTTTATGAGCTCATTGGTCATTTCCATTTTGCCTCCCCTCCTCTCCTTTGCACTACCATGATCATGCAAACCACCAAAATATAATCATAATTTTTGCTGCAAGCAAACAAAAACATTTAGACGTTAACATTTAGGAATGAATTTGTATCACCAGTGCTATTCATTCTGTTTCTTCAGCCAGTTTTCACCTGGTGTCATCGCACTCTGCTAATGATTTCCTTTTCAATGCTGTTTATAATTTAAGTATGCCAGAAACAGTTGCTTTAAACGCCTTTATCTTGGTTTCGCTTGGGGGAGTAATCTATACTGTTAGATGGATATTTTTTTTTCTTTCCTTTTCTTTATTTTAACAGAGTTTCCCTAGTCCCAGCCCACTTGGAAGTCACTATGTGGATCAGGTTGGCCTCCATCTCACAGAGATCTGCCTGTCTCTGCATTCCGAGGGTTGGGATTGCCCAGCGAGTTTTTTCCTTTTCACACTTATTTACAGGTATTTCTCCACTGTCTGCTGGATTACCTCATTGTAAATGAGAAATCTGCTGTATTTTTTATATTTGTTTCTCTATATAATGTGTCTCTTTCCTTTAGTTGTATATATGTTTTTAAAGCGGTTTTCTAAATTTTTGATTGTGGTATACCTTAATGCATTTGTATAAGCATGTGTTTATCCTTCATTAGGTCCACTGAGCTTCTAGCAATCTGTAAGATTATGATCATCAGTTTTGGAAAATTTAAGATCAACATTTTTTTCACTTAAAGTTCTGTGATTTTCCCCTTTAAAAACTCTAGCTCCACACAAACTAGTTCATTTGATGCTGATCTCAAGGCTACTGAAGCCCTGTTCATCTTTCACTCTCTCTTTCTTTTGGTTATCTTTTTGAGTAGATTATATTATTTTTTTAACTTTAAAAAAATTTATTGAGATTTTCATAACGTATATAAGGTGTTTTGATTAAATCTACATGCACTCTCTTCCCTCCAAATCCTCCCATATCTTCCCATCACTTTTTCCTGACAACTTCGTTATATTATTAAAATTTTAATTTTACTCATTTTTTCTCCATCCTGTCCAATTACTCTTGTTCAAGATTTTAAAATATTGTGTTGATTTTTATATTATATGTATGAGTGTTTGTCTGCATGTATGTATGTACACCATGTAAGTACCTGGTACAGACAATTGTGAGCTGCCATATGGGTGTTGGGAACAGAACCTGGGTCCTCTGCAGAAGAAAGTGCCCTTAACCACAGAGAAATCTCTTCCTTGTCCAAGATATTTTTTTAATTATCGTATTTTCACTCCTGTAAGTTCTATTTAATGGTTTATGTTTTTTGCTCACTGTGTTCATATTTTTGTTTAATAGTGAAACATAATTATAATATTTGAATAGCTTCTGCTAATTCTAACACTCATTTTGTATATTTTTTCTCTTTTTCTTCTCTTCGGCATGTTTATTAACTTTTGTCATACGCTGAATATTATGGATGCTATGTTCTTAAGTGTCTGCATTTTTTTGTTTTCATCCTTTACATAGTTAAAGAACTTGAACGTCAGTTTACTTGTTTATTGATTCTGCTAAGGTGGCTGTATAGTAGCCTTCACTCCAGTGATGTCTACCCCACTTCAGGACTCTCCAGTAAACATTCCAGATGACCAAGAACTCTCCTCTCTGAAGAGTCAAAGTTCAAATCCTCTCCTATCCCTTATGAGTCCTGCAAGCACTTCAGCCTACAGTTCCCCAACTGTTCTTTGTCCATGTGTGATGGCTGCTGTCCAGTTGGTTGGACTGAAAGATGCCTGGGAGATTAACAAAGAATGGTTCTATGTATGTCTGTAAGGGTGTCTCCAGAGGGCATAAGCTAAGGGGAGAAAACCTGCTCTGAATGTAAACAACATTCAAAAGGCCGAAGGCCCAGATGGAGTAAAAGGGAAAGGAGAGAAACGACTATTGCTGTCCTCATCCTCTCTGCTTTCTTCTCTTCTTCTTCTCCTCCCCCCTTCTTTCCTCCACTCTCCCTCTCTCCCTGCTGCAATCATGATGAGGCACTCTGCTCTGCCACACTCTCCTCACCATGAAGAATTGAAATCTCTGAAACCATGAGCCAAAACGTATCCTTCCTCTTTTAAGTGATGTATATCAGAGAGCTTGTCACAGCCATGAGAAATTAAGGCCCTTCTTTGTGTAGTTTTGTTTTATACAAAGGATGTACTCAACAGAGAAGGGGTCCCATAAAAATCTGTAGACTTCTGTCACAAAGGCTTTCTTCCTCAAAACACTGCCCTGTAACTTCCAACTGCTACAAGATCATCTCCATCTTTTCAATTCAGCAAAGCTTCCAGGATCTTGTTGGATTCCCATTTCTTCTGCCCATGTTCAAATATGTCAAATTGGAAATAGATGGATGCTACAAAGAAAGCCAAGAAGATCTGAAATCTCGTGGTTACTTCTTCTCTCATGAGGCTCAAACTCCGAAGATACGTTTCTCCCATCACTCACTAGATGCACTTGCTTTGCCGTTTTGCTCAGTTGTCTCCTACGGGAGCTTAGACATGGTCTTTGACACTTTGTTATTTAATACAGTCTTGATACAGAATATTCTTAAGTGGGACAGTATGGTTTAGAATCAGACTAGGTGGGGTTTACATGGCATCTTTTTTCAGAAATTGCTACCTGAAGCAAGGTACTATAATTATAACTGGAATGTTTCAACAAAGATGTTCACTGTCACGTTAAAACAGATTGTGGACAGTTACTTCCGACTCTACTAAGCTCAGTAGTTCTGAATAACATAGGTGAAAATGTAATGATTTTTAAATTAATGTAATTAGTTAAAAGCTATTTCACAATAATACCATCGATTCAAAGTAATTTATTATTATTAGATTGTATTATTACAGATTAACTTATGATAGTTCAAACAATTGTCATTTTGCTTCACTGGTATGAAACACATATCTACATTATAAAGTCTTCATTAACTCTGCTAATCTAGGGCTAGAGACATAGCGCAGCAGTAGAGCACTTGCCTAGCACATGTCAGGCCATGAGTTTGATCCCAGCACCAGAGAAATAGAATGATAGCCTACTCATCATGTTCTCTAATTATTTCTAATAATCCTACAAGCTAGGTTGGAAATGCCAGCCATGCATTCTTTCCATTTACTGTTTGGCACATTTACTGTGAGTCTACCCTCTACCAAAGTCAGAGATTGATAGCAAACAGAAAACCTATGCATACCAACAGGTTAGTCACACATTGTATATGTGGGTGTAAATGTAGGTATACACATAAGCATGTATACATGTGCATATGTGTGCATGTGAGTATGAGCATATCTGCCTAAGGGGGACTGTGGATGCTCCATATTCCAGAAATAATTGCATCCCAGTCTTAGCATTGAAAAAAATGCCTTTAATGGTGCACTAAACACTAAAACATCAGAGCTGATGCACTAAAACTGCACCTACATATTTTGTGTTTCATGATAAAATTGTTCTCTTTTATATCCCTTAAATATCTGAAATATCCTAGAATAATTAACATTTAAAGCACTTAAAGTGAACAGTTCAGGTGTTTAATAATACATTATTTTGATAAGTATTTATAACAGGTTATAGTACATACAATTTAAAAGGCAGAAAGTGGAAAATGTACAAAAAATACCAAAGAAAATAAACTCTAGAGAACCACATAACAAATTCTACAGCGCCAGTAATTTAGGTAACTAAATACCAAACTCTCCCTAATACAGCAGCTAAAATTATTTTACACAGCATTTACACAGCTTGTATAATATTTCCAACTTGCAAGAATCTTTTTTTTTTTCAGAAAATATGGGATAGTTCACAGATTTTCATGTCATGCTTCTGCAGGGGCCACGACTTCTTCTCTGTGGCCTTCCCACTTTAACAACATGCTGTTGAAGTGAGCACACAGAATCTTTTCAATAACACCCCTCTTGTTCGTGTTATTCATGATTTAGAACATGGAAACTACCTGTCTCCCTATAAAACTGTAGTCCTTTATTCAAGTAAACAGCTTCATCAAAATCACTGATTAAGGTTTAAGCAAATCGGGTGCAATGGCACATACTTATAATCCTAGCACATCAGAGGTAGAGACAGGAGGATCAGGAGTTCCAGCCTGGACTACATAGTGAGTCCAAGGCCAGTCTAAACTACCTTAGAAATAATCATAATTTGTCTCAAAAATAGAAACAATTTTTTAATAAAATGGAAATCCATAATTACTGGCATTGTAGAATTTATTATGTGGTTCTCTAGAGTTTATTTTCTTTGGTGTTTTTTGTATATTTTCCTCTTTCTGCCTTCTATTTCCTTCTAAACATAAGAACACTTAGTACATTCATACTTGAAAGTAATTTAATTGATAAGAATCACGTTGTTGCAGGCAAGGAACTCTAAGTTCACTGAGAACTGGGAGGGCAGGAACACAATTAGGAAATGTTTTGTTCCTGGTCTGATTGGGCAAAGTGCGTTGCAAAACCATCCATCTCACCCCAAAGCACATAAATTTGTAATAATGAAAAGTATGTGATTAGAATTGAGAGATGGCTCCATTGATAAAGTGCTTGCCACTCAAGCATGAGGAGCTGAGTTCAAATCCCCAATGCTCAAGTAAAAGCCTGGTTTAGTGCACTTCTGGAACTCTGGTGCTGAGAAAATAGGGACAGACACCTGCCTATAGCTCACTGGCTAGTTGGTCCATCCAAAATGGCAAGCTCCAAGTTCACTGAGAAGCTCTGTCTCAAAAAGTAAAGGGAAAGGCTTAGCACAGTGGTACATACCTTTAATCCCAGGGCTTAGGAGGCAGAGGAAGGTGGCTTTCTGTAAGTTGGATGCTAGCCTGGTTGGTCTACATAGTTAGTCCAAGCCAGCCAGGGCTGTCTCCTCAGTGGTTTAGACACTGGTAATTTGCCCTTGTTCAAGTGATAACCCTCTCCTGTGTTTATGCACACAACCCCAATTAAATGCAGTGGGACACACACACACACACACACACACACACACACACACACACGAAAGCAAAAGCATGTGATCAAATTTGCCTTTTGAGATAATTTTAAAGAATTCTTTTATTGTGGCACGTGCAAAAAACTAATGTTCTGGAAATGTAGTGAAAAGTAGTCTTAGATTTCTCAGGATTTTTATTCATGAAGATTTTACTTAATGTTCTCTAGAATCACTGGTATGGATTTGTGGTCTTTCTCCTTCTAATTCTCTCTGGTGCTTCTCCAGATTCTAGCACTGCATTCTCTAGAGTCTACTACAGCACACTGAAGCTTTTTTTTTTTTTGTCTTTGTTCAGACACTGTCTCCCTGTAACCCCAGCTGATCTTGAACTCACAGAGATCCACCTGCCTCTGCCTCCCAAGAGCTGAAACTAAATGCATGCACCAGCAGTTGCGGCCTACACTGAAGCATTTTTAAATGCACAATTATTTTGTCACACAAAAACAAACAAACAAACAAAAAAACACCCAAAGACTTAAATCTGTTGTAGCTATTTTTTTCCCATATGCCTTTGTTTGGTTAGCTTTACTTGGAATAGAGCATGTGTAAATCTCCCTCCAGCCCCTTCCCATTTCACTGATTACAACGCCGACTCTAACCCGCACTCCAGATCACCCTTCCTCATAGTGCACTGTTCCTCGCTCCCACTTCTCAGGACCAGCTGGCCAGATTACAGCCTGTTTGTGTCATCTCACCGAACGATCTGTCATACAGCTTCTAAGCCCATCTACACCATTCACATCTCCCACAGCAGAGAGAAGATTGTTCTGGCTGCTCTTCTGTACTTCTTCCACCCTATTCCTGCTGAGCAGCCCTTCCTGTGAGCTATGCCAGTCAATGACTGAGCACAATGGAGATCTCAGGCCAGCCCAGATTTTCTTACAGTTGTGGTGCTCTCCGAGACGCCTCCAGACTAACTCTTCTTCTCCCACCTAACTCCCCACTGTATTATGGCCTAGTCATTCCCCCCACTTCCTACCGCCATCCTTTCCACCTCCTGGTCCTGCTCAGGCCAATGGGCCCATCACTAGCACCAGATGAACTCCAAATTCTTTATTGCTGAAGAGTTGTGATATCAATTTTCTTTTTTTAAAAAAAAAATTTATTTATTATTTTTATTTTATCTGTATGAGTGCTTGCTTAAGTGCACCCATGTCGTGCAATGCTTGCAGAGTTCAGAAGAGGGTGTAGGATCCCCTGGAACTGGAGTTTCAGACCGTTGTTAGCCACCATGTGGGTACTGGAAATCGAACCTGGGTTCTCTGCAAGAGCAGTCGGTGCTCTTAACTCCTGAACCATCTTTCCAGCCCCTCAATTTTCTTTCTTCTTCTTTTTTTTTTTTAATGTGTGTGTTTTGCCTCCATGTAAGTGCACCCACATGTGCAATGCTCAGGGAGGCCAGAAAGTGGCGTCAGATTCCCTGGACATGGGAATGTGTTAAAGGCAGCTGCTAGCCACCATGTGGGTGCTGGGAACCAAACCCAGGTCCTCTGCAACAGCAGCAAAGCCTCTTAACTGCTGAGTCATCTCTTCAGCCCTGCGACATCATCAGTTTCCCACGAGTATCTAGCAGTTACTCAGTGAACATCAATTCCATGATGCCTTTGTCACCTCCTCACTGCACCATCACAAGACAAGGAGATGGCTCTGGTGCTTCTTCAGCTTCCAGCTTCCTTTAAGGTCTGTAATCCTATCATGGGTTTTTACCCTCAGGACCTCATACAAACTCAGTTGTTTCTCCAGAGTCCCACCTTCTAACGGCCTTACATTGGAGTTTGGAGCTTTGATATTTTGACTTGGGAAAGACATAGATATTCTCTCCTTAACAGTTTTCAGTTCCTCTGAAACAGTAGAAACAATTCAACTACAGGACAACCTTCTCCGACACTGACCACCTCTTAAAGTTCTAGTGCATCCCTGTCCTCATCATGCTGGCCAGTCTCTGGTTGCTCAACTATATTAATTCCTCCCTCTGAGCCTCAGAATGGCCTTAAGGAGTCCCATCTAGTGACCCTGACTTTGTCCTCCATCTGGGTTTGGCTAGTTGGAGGCACATGATCGGAGGAAGCAGTTTGAATCTTGGTTTTATTTGCCCAAAGCCTGAGACCAGCTGTTCACTGCCAAAAGGCTTCCTGGTCCCAGTTACCAATCTGTTACTTAATTCCAACCCTATGGCTGGTAATATCTTCACTGTTGGTGTTTCCCCTTGAAAACATTCCCCATTACACTTTCTACCCATTTCTTTCCAGAACACAGATTCCCTATGCCGTTCTCCATATTACCAAGGATCCCTTCTACTTGCCAAACTAATCATGAGCCTGTGTCCCAGAGGAGGTTGGACAAGTGCTATGACACAGAACTTATAAAGAGCAAGGAAATTCCTCTCTGTCCCATGGTAGAGGAACTTATGGAAATGATAAATTCAAGTCAAGCTATAAAAAGAAACCTATATAGGGATGGACATTGTTAAGAGTTAAAAGCTGACCATATTTGGCTTAAAAAGATGAAAATTCTATCCATAGTTAAAGCTTTGCTTCTTAGCTGCCAAATCAAGCATTTGCAGTACACTTATCAACTGTTTAAATAGCTAGTCTTCTGAAATTTTACCTGACACAACTGAGACATATCTAGGTTTTTCTTTCAACATGAAAATAGATTTTAAGATTTTTAAAAATATATTAATTAAGGGGCTGGAGAGATGGCTCAGCAGTTAAGAGCACTGACTGCTCTTGCAGAGGACCCAGGTTTGATTCCCAGCACCCACATGGGGGCTACGAACAGTCCTTAACTCCAGTTCCAGGGGAGTCCAAAGCCCTCTTCTGACCTCTGAGGCATTGCACAACACAGGTGCACTCACATACATGCAGCCAATACACTCGTACACATAAAATAAAAATAATAAAAAAAATATTTTTTTCAATATAAAAATATGTATATTGGGGCTGGAGAGATTGCTCAGTGGTTAAGAACACTGGTTGTTCTTGCAGAAGACCCAAGTTCAAATCCCAGGACCCATATGGCAGCTAACAACTTTTTGCAACTCCAGTCCCAGGGGATCTGACAGCCTCTTCTGATCTCCGTGGGCATTGCACGACACAAGTGCACTTACCTACATGCAGGCAATACATGCATACACATAAAAATATATATATATATATTAAAAAGGTGTTAAGAAATAATGAAAATCCTGTGTTGCTTTGGAGACTTCTGGGACCTCCCTGGCTAATAACTTATGGGGAGATAGCCCATACCTGACACTGAGACTTTTGTTCAATAACCCATGTCTTCTGGAAGCAGCAGCATCCACCCATGAAGGATACCTCCACTCAAACTCCTTTCATTTATTTATTTCTTATATTTTATAATTAGCTTACAGAGTAGTGAGTTTCCATAAGGCTTTTTCGTACATGCCTATTTTTGGTAAACCCACCCTCTTCCCCCTATTGGCCCCCATCTCCAGTTAAACCCTAACCCTCAATATTCCTCCCCTCTTCTTTTGTATTACATATGCTCTACTGTCCCCACCCATTACAATTTTTAATTGGATTGCAAGATAGTGGGGTTCCATATGGCTTTTTCATACATGCCCTTCATTTTGGTTAACCCTTCCCTCACCCCCTTTTCCCTTATCTCCCATCCTCTCCCTGCTTGAAATTTTCCACCCCCAGCATTCCCCCTCTCTACTTTTGTTTTACCTGTATTCTACTATTCCTTCTCCCTTAATGCATGCCCCCCACATTGGCCACTTTCTCATTTCCTGACCTCCACATGTACCCCAAGTTAAACACAAAGCAAAAGATTCAGCTAGGATCCACAGATGAGAGAGAACATGTAGTGTTTGTCTTTATGAGCCTGGGTTACCTCACTCAGTATAATTTTTTTCCATTTTCATCCATTT